TCAGTCCTCTTGTGTGTTTTAGACTGGAATGCATAATTGTCAGAAATCACAATTGGTCAGACAGGATGTCACCTGCTGCTTGGGGGACAAAGGAAAACAGCTGAGTCTAAGCCAGCAGTGAAATCCCACTGCAGTCCCAGTTATACAGGAGAGGCCTGAATGGCTTATGAAGAACTGAGATGCTGCGAAAGTTTCCCAGCCCTGATTTAACATGACTGACATTGGAGAGGGGATTCCAGGCTCTGGTCAGCCAACCCCAGGTGCAATTCAGCCCTGAAGCCAAGCCTCGGGCCACAAGTGGTGGGAACTGCAACCAAACTTACTGCAAGTAGCCATGAGGAACTGCCAAGACTGCAAAGTGGGCACCAGAAGATGTTCACACATTGCCCAGGGAAGCAGCACAGAGCTGGCCATGCACCAAGAATAACTGGCTCTACAAACCTGTGTTGCACAGATGTGGGACTTAATTTCCATTGTCACAGCATGTTGTTGTTGTTGTTGTTGTTATGTGCCAAGTCGGACGCGACTCATAGCGACCCTTCCTTGGGTTTCCAAGGCAATATCACCACGGAAGTAAATTGCCCAACCTTCTTTCCAAGGAGTGGCTGGTGGGTTTGAACCACCAGCCTTCTGGTTAGCAGTCAAGTGCCTTAGGCACTGCGCTACCAGAGTTCCTTTGTCACAACATAGGGAGGCCTAACCCAAGAAATTAATATTAAATTGTTTGGAGCTAGGAAATTTCAGGAAGTATAAAACTGCTCCAAGAGCTGTCTCCTTAATGTGGGACTATCAAGGAAAACAGCCTTTCCTGAAAACCAGCTCATAGGCCCAAAGAACAACCATAAGAAGATCAGCAACCATAATGGATCAGCAAGTTAAGCAAGAAGCTACACTCAAATTCCAAGACTTGCAGAAATAGACACAAAACAGATTTTTAAATTAGTAAGTTTAAAATGTTCAAAGAGTTTAAGGAATAGAATATAATAGGTAAGAACAGGACATTATGAAAAAAGAACAGTTGAATTTCAAAAGCACCTAACAGAAATTTTAGCAATGAAAAATGTAAAACTCCATGGACAGGTTATCCATTAACTAAAGGCAGATGAAGAGAGAACTGGTGATTATTTAGTGTGTGGTACTATGGCTACGTGTGGCCGGCCTCAGTCTGTGCTGTTGAATGGGGAGGGTGACATTTCCCTCACCCTGGGAGGCCTTTTACAGCCCTGAGTGGTACAAATGGTTAATACTCTTCACTGCTCTCAAAAAATTGGATATTGAGTCTAATGAAGCACTTTGGAAGAAGGCTTGGTGATCTGCTTCTGAAATATCAGCCATTGGAAACTCTGTGGAGATCAGAGAGGTAATGGGTCAGATGGGCCCCTGTGGTAGAGCTCTCTGGCAGCACTGTGCACAGTAACCTGGTGGTAGCAGGCCAGACAGGCAGGCAGTCTGGAGCCTACGGCAATCATTCACAACATATCTGACATGCCCACAGTGGGAGAGGGGGATTGTTGAGAAGTGTTAGGAACTCAAAACCAACTAGACTCACTGGTCAAGAGATGAGGACAAGAGAATACTGGGCCAAAAGACATACTGAGGTTAGGACTGAACATGTCAACTTTAGGGTATTGGACATCAAGAGAACAGATTTTCAGGAAGAATTGAGTGTAGTAGTTATTGCTTTATAACAAATTACCCCAAAACGTAGCTGCTTAAAACAATGCATGTTTACGAACTCACAGTTTCTGTGGTTCAGGAGTCCAACATGGTCTATGGGTCCTCGGGCTGTAGGTCTCCCAGGAGGATTCAATCAGGATGTTATCTGGGGCTGAGCTCTTATCTGAAGGTTCCACAGAGGGAGGGCCCATTTGCAGGCTTGCTAGTGAGGTTGTTAAGGTACTCTGGTGGTGCAGTGCCTAAGGCATGTGATTGCTAACCAGAAGGTTGGTGGTTCAAACCCACCAGCCACTCCACAGAAGGAAGACAGGGCAATCTACTTCCATAAAGATTTATTGCCTTGGAAACCCAGTGGGGGTCACTATGAGTCGGAATGGACCCAATGGCTGTGGGTTTGATTTGGTTTGGGTTTAGTGAGGTCTTTGGAGTGTCTCAGGAGGCTTGGCCATTGTGATGAATTACTGAATTGATGCTATGTCCAGCTGACATGGGCTGATGACTCTCTGCCCTTCTCTTTCTCCTTTCTAGTGGTCAGGAAGTGGAGCACATTTAATTATGTGACTCGAGGACAACAATCAAGGGGGGAAACCTCAGAAAGGAAGAGAGAGGCATCCATCTCAGAGATGGAAGGGACTCTGCAGGTACCAGATTCCCCTCTGCTCCACTGTTGATGTCCATTGTGGGGTAGGAATGCTGCCCAAGGTGGCGGTGCAGCTGAGACCTCTTACTGTGCTCCGTGGCTTTACTGTTGGCATGGTCCTCTGGCTGCATGTGTGTGTGTGGTATGTGGTTTCTATGCCCTTTCTTCATAAGATCAAGCTAGAGGGCTGACTCCTTCTAGGCACATCCACCTCTGCAGCTTTCCAGAGGGAAGTGTCAGTCAATTTCTGATTGCTTGTTTTTATTTTTTATTTTTATACTTTTTATTGTGATTTGGGTGAAAGTTTATAGAGCAAATTCATTTTCCATTGAAAACATACACATTTTGTTTTGTGACATTGGTTGCAATCCCCGTAATGTTACAGCTCTCTTCTCACTTCTTACTTGGAATGACCTTTTCTTTGTGTCCTTCTTTCCTAGGCATTCCTGCCTTCTGAGCTTTCTTCCTGTGCAAATGCTGCCCTTTTGATCTCCCCTGGTTGATTTTTCTGAGCAGTACAATTCTCTGGTATAATTGGCCACCTTGTAGTCCTGTCTGTTGTTTGGCTAAAGGTTAAGACATTAGAGTGAGTTTATTTCTGGGCCTAGAAGGTGACTGGGGCCATATAGCCTTAGAGGTTTCTACCATCTCTATCAGACCAGTAAGCCTGGTCATTTTTGTGAGTTTGAGTTTTGTTCCACATTTTTCTCTCACTCTGTCCAGGATCTCCAATTTCGATCTCTTTCTGAGTGGTTATCCCTGGTAGCTGGGCACCATATAGTTCTTCTGGTCTTAGGGTCATGTAGGTTGAGGTTCCCACGGTCCACTAGTCCCTTGGACTAATTATTTCCATACATCTTTGATTTTCTTCATTCCTCTTTGATCTGGATAATGAGAGTCCAGTATTACACCCTAGATGGTCACTCACAAACTTTTAAGACCTCAGTCACTCCTCACCAAACAGGATGTAAAACAATGTTTTTGTGTACTATTTTATGCCAATTGAACTTGATGCCCCCACAACCATGGTCCTGAGCCCACCGGCCCAGCAACTCACTTCTACAAGGTGTTTGGTTGTGGTTAAGAAGTTATCATAACTTTGCACCCTTGTCACTCTATTATGTAGATAGATAATTTTATAACACATACAAATATGTATGTAGAAATATCATCTGCCAAACCTATATGTGGTCGTGGGTATATTCCTGTTGCCTACCTACCTGAACATCTTGCGTGTCTACCTATTTTTCACCCATATATTTCACACAACCATAATTATCATATGACCCAGTAACCCCACTTCTGGGTTCTTACTCAACAGAAATGAAAACACATGTCCATACAAAGAGTGGGGATAAGGGTAGCGTCCCGCCAATGGGACCCTTTCCCAAGACTCTACTCTGGAGCCCTGAGGTGCCATTACTCTAAATTGACTCTAAATAGACTACTTGAACTTTGCACAGGAATAAAGTCAATGTCAGCAGCTTCTTTCTTTCTCATTCTGTGAATTTGCACTTACCCCACAGGAAAAGGATGAGAGCATGAGACCGACCGTTAGCCCAGATATTAAGCTTGTAAGTTTGCTGGACTGTTTCATTTATCTGAAAAATAAGCCTATTTTGTATTTGTAAATTGCTTGGGAAACATTCATCAATGATGATATATTTAAAAATAAAGTGATAATATAAAGCATGTTGTTGTTGTTGTTATGTGCCGTCGAGTCGGCCCCGACTCATAGCGACCCCTCCATAGAAAATAAAATTGTTTACCTAATGTTATTAACTTTTAGGGCCATTTCTTTCTTATGTGAACTTATCTTATTTTCAAAAATGGCAACAATTCTTCTCTCCCTTCACAATTAATATCTGGATGGGAGGAAGATGGTATCATACCTGTAGCCCACACATTTGTTCCCTCTAGCATCTTAATTCCTGAAAAACTAGGTGTAACCCTTTGAAGCAGGCATTGTGAAGCTGTGAACAGCTGACTAAGTTAGGGGGTGCCAGATTTAGTGGAGACGGAGAAAGAAAAACAGAGTAAACAGCTGGGAAAAATAAATGAACCTGCCTGGCTGGTGGGGAAATGGAGAGGCAGAGAAGCGGAAAAGTCTAGCAGTACAGGGGAGAACCATGGAGGAAAAAAAACAGGGGAGGGGGCATCACAGAACCCATGGAGGCTTCGGGGATTCAGACCCCCCACACCAGGAGCTTCTGATGGTAGCCTTAGGAATGAGCTGAGTAAATGGATAGCATTTCTAAGAAACAGAGCAGAAACCCCTGTGGCTTGGGGCCACTGCTGAGTTGAGAGTGGAAAGGGGGAAAGGTGGAAACTTGCTGCAGGTAGTTGGGCCCTGGGATGAATTCACAGCACAAGGCTGGGATTCAGCTCTTCCGTGAGACCTTTTTAGCACAGAGTGGACTGGGGGCAGGGGAAACACCTTCCAGCTGAAAATTCACTTGTCTCTGGCCCAACTATGCCTATGTCCCACTGTTAGTCTTCACTAATAGCTTCCCAGGAGCCACTGGTTTCCAAGGTTCTGCAGACTAAAGGGAAACCACACCAAGAACGACGCAGGTGGTACATTGGGCAGGCATCAAGGGCCCTTCATGAGCACTCTTCCTCCAGCAAGGTGCCTCCCTTGCTGATGCCGGAACCTTTCCTCCCTTTTATCCTGTGCAAGCAGAGACAAGCCCAAGAAGTTAGTGCCTCCACCTGCCAGATACCCAACTGAGTGCTCCAGCGGCACGCTCCAGCCTGCAAGCATCTCCCAGCCAAAGGTAAGCCCAGAGCTGCTGGTACTGTGCATCCACGAAGGTGAGCGCCAGGTGGAGGGCTAAGGCTCTCGAAGACTCAAAATTAAGGTCAGAACAGTATTCTGAATTGCTTGTTTGCTGCTTTTAAGCAATTAGAGGGCATGCCCAACTGCTACTCAAAGTGAAACAATGGTGTGTGGGGAGTAGAGGAGAAATAAAGCGAGGGACAGAAAATACTCTTAATTGTGTGTATGTGTGTGAGAGAGACACAGAGGGATACAAAAGTAGGTGAGCCACACGTGATCCTGTGCTTCCGTGAGTGGCCTGCTGTCTGCAGCTTGGAAATGCATCAAGTGGTGATGGACAGTTTTGTGACCAAGAACACAGCAAAATGGTAACAGATGTCTAGGTGGGGATGTTTGAGTACTCTGTACAGTTCTTTCAGATTTTCGGAATGTTTGAAATTTCTCACAATGAAACATGGGGGAGTAACCGTGTGTTGCAGACAGATGAAGGGTAAGATGATGATGTGTATGTTTATATGTGAGTGTTTGTGTGACTGTGTAAGTCTGTATATGTAAGTGTGTGTATGCATGGGTGTGTTTGTGTATGTGTGTGTTTGCATGTGTGACCGTGTTTATGTGCCTTTGTGTGTATGTGTTTGTGTGTGTGACTGTATGTGCATGAGACTGTACTAAAATGATGGGGCATGTGAGTGGGCATGGAAGCGTCCATGTGAGAAGCACACAGCGGTCAAAGTCGAATGGAGGATGAACGTTGCAAATGAGAAAAGATGGGAGGACACCCTCATTACACGTGGAACAGGTCATAGGTGGGATGGAGTCTCTCACACAGGGAGGAGAGGGAAGAGACAGGGCAAGAGCTTCACCTTGAATGACAATTCAGGTAGGACAGGTGAGTATTTGTAAATTACAAAAGGTGTAAAGTGTTACACCTAGTTTTTCAGGCTGGTGAGTGTGGGACACACAGCGGAGAGGACAGGAGATACAACTGCCATAGGGCTAAAGGGACCAGAGGTCCCCAGATCTTTTAAGGTGCTCACTTTCAGAGTAACTTCTGCAGCAAGAAGGAGGCTACATGACTGGATGTCAGCCTTCCTGTTCAGGTCGAGGGGCGCAGTGAAACCTCTCTTGAGCAGGACTCAGAAGGATGCAGTGAAATCTAGCTTTGTCTTTAACATACAAGGACATGGCCATGAGTTGCAATTGTCTCCACAGCAATTGGTGGTATCATGTTGTTGTTGTTGTCATTGTTGTTAGGTGCTGTCGAGTCGGACTCGACTCATAGCGACCCCTCCTTGGGTTTCTGAGGCAGTATCACTACGGAAGTAGATTGCCCCATCTTCCTTCCAAGGAGTGGCTGGTGGGTTTGAACTGCCAGACTTGTGGTTAGCAGTCAAGTGCCTTAGGCACTAGGCTACCAGAGCTCCCATATTTGTATGTATTTAGATATATAATAAAAGCAATGAAAGCTGGGATCTTGTAAGGCAGAAACCTATCAGAGAAGGAAAACTCACTGAGTGTTTATGAGGTAGGATTCTTATAGAGAGTGATGGAAAAGTGGTCAGACGCACCCTGTCAAAGGTGGAAAAACTTGCAAGACCCAGAAAAATAGGCAGTTCTGTTGAGTTCCAGCTCCCAGTGTCTACTGCATATTGTTATTAGTCATTCCAAGTTGATTTTCCAAGGTCAGCAGTCTTTCATTTTGTACTTTCAAACATTTTCTCCAGGAAATTTTTCTTGAATTTTAGATTTTTGTATCTCTTTTCCATTGCCTTGTTTTTGTTCTTCAGGAACTGTGATTAACCGGGTTAGATTTTCTTTGCCTGTTTTCAATAGTTATCCCTTCTATTGATCCCTTTATATTGTTTATTTAACATCTTAGTTTCATTTTTTAGTTCTTTTCCCCCTCTTTATCTTAGCTATTATCTGTTTAGTGTATCCCATTTTTATTCCTTCTGCTTTAATTTAGGCTTCTGAAATAATTTTTCTTTTATTTTAATCCATATCTGAATCCTAGCACATCATTGCTTAACTTTACTAATTCTGATTTATTATGTTCTTCCATGTTGTTGTTGTTGTTGTTAGGTGTTGTTGAGTCATCTCCAGCTCATGGCAACCCTATGTACAGCACAATGAACCACTGCCTGGTGCTGTGCCAGCACCATGATACTTGCTATACCTGAGCCCATCATTGCAGCCACTGTGTCAATCCATCTTGTTGAGGGCCTTCCCCTTTTTAGTTGACTCTCCACTTTACCAAGTATGATTTCCTTCTCAGGAAGTGGTCCCTTCTGACAATATGACCAAAGTAGGTGAGTTGAAGTCTGGCCATTCTCACTTCCAACGAGCATTTTGACTGCACTTCTTCCAGGATGGATTTGTTAGTTCTCCTAGCAGTGCATGGTACTTTCAGTATTCTTCACCAACACCACAGCTCAAAAGCATCGACTCTACTTCAGTCTTCTTTATTCACTGTCCAGCTCTCACAAACATATGAGGCGACTGAAAATACCATGGCTTGTGTCAGGTGCATCTTAATCCTTAAGGAGATACCTTTGCTTTTCCACACTTGAAAGAGGTCTTTTGCAGCACATTTGTCCATTGCTGTATGTCATCTGATATCTTGACTGCTGCTTTCATTGGTCTTCATTGTAGAACCAAGTACTGTGAAGTCTTTGATAACTTCAGTCTTTTCTCCATTTATCATGTTGCTGCTTATTGGTCCAGTTGTGAGGATTTTGTTTTCTTTGTTTTGAGGTGTAATCCATACTGTAGACTGTAGTCTTCAACCTTCATCAATAAGTGCTTCAAGTCATCCTCACTTTTAGTGAGCAGAGTTGTGTTGTCTGCATATCTCAGGTGTTCTTCCATATATTCCCTGATTTGTCTTCTTTTATTGTGTTTTGATCTGCTAGGTTACAGTTGTCACCTGTGTTGTAGAGTTGTCATCCTGCTCTCCCACTCAGTAAAGGCTCTTCTTTCTTTGTGTTCTTATAACTTTGTGTGGAATTTGACCACAATCCTTTTATGTTGCTCATTTTTCATGAAATTACTTTTCCTTTTCTTGAGGTGGCTCAAGTTAGCTCTTCTTGCTTTACAGGTCTCTCTCGGATCATCCTCAGAAGAACGGCTGCATACTCTCTACAGCCTCCAGCTTTATTCCCTTCTCCAAATTTTACCTGGGCCTTCTTTTTCATTTTCCCTATTTTCCATATCTTGCTCAATTTGTCTTCTACTTGTAGCATTTTCGCTTCACTGCGGTGTTTGTTCTGGACAGGAGCTCAGCTGCTAGTTTTGTGCAAGTTAATGAGACCTAGACTATTTCATTGTGCCAAACGGGCAGGGAGGCCCCATCTTCTGACCTCCTCTAACCCCACAAGAGGAAGACAGAATGACCATCAGTAGCCCAAGGCCATTCCTGCAAGACCAGACATGCCACCTCCTTCCAGCCCTAACACCAACCATTCCTCCTGTAACACCCACAACTTCTCTACTGGGTTCAATAATTCACTGCAGTGGCCACACAGAACTCAGAGATTATGGGGTTTATTAGGGAAGCACCAGGCTACAATTCAAGTTCAGGTAAAATGCCCGCTATCTGTCAGCCAACAGTCTCTCTCAGTCTCTCTCCCAGCAATGCATGTCTCTCTCTCAGCAAAGCATGTCTCTCAGTGTCTCTCAGCAGCACATATCTCTGAGGAGCACGTTTCTCTCAGCTGCATGTCTTTGTCAGCCAGCGAACAGAGAGACCTCTAGGAGGGCTCCTTTTGAGCCTGGCAGAGTGGTCACCTAACCAATCCCAACATCAGAATTCTATTCACCTGAGAGAGAGTGAACTTCCCAGAAAATTACGTGGTGCTACATGCAACAGAAATACCCCAGGTGGATAACTTTAGCAATCAGGAGCTACTCAGTTGCTCACAGCAAATTCCACCATGGACTTTACAAAGACTTATGGCTAGAAAAGCCATATCAGGTAATTTACTACACCACACAGTGTCTTCAGGCTTTACCACAGACCCCTTGCACACACTCAGGACTTTGAGTGTGAACAGTCCTCCCTGTCTCAGCTTCTGTTCTCAAATTGGCCCACCCCCCTCTCCAGTGAGTACCTATTAGCTGTTTAGGGGTTCAGTGACTCTCTGCATCATAAGAAGTCCCTTTGTGTCTCTTCTCTCTCCCACAGATGTGTATTCACAGTCTCACAGCTCTCCAGGATTTGTCCCTGTAACCCTTCTATCTTGGAGTTCACAGGGACAATTTGTCACCTGGTTTCTGTGTAGATGTTGATCATGGGTTTCTGGATTTGTTGCTCTGTTTTTATGATGGTACATGGGAAATGGGGAGGAAATTTAAAAACTATGTTGCCACTGCTGTCTTCCCAGAATCTTGTCTCTCTCAAAATATGAATGATAGCTTTTAAATTTAAGTGTTCTCTTATTCCTTGCAATGTCTGCTTCATCCATGTTCTTTTATAATTGTGTTCATGCTTGGGTGGGTGGCTGGAGTCCCTGTTTTTCATCTTGCAGAATTTCCTCATATGCCTGATGGTTTTCTGTTGTCATTTGTATTTAAGCATGTGGCTCTTTGAAACTGGTGGGGAATTCTGTGTGAGAAGTTAGGGCTTTTTAGATGTTTGCTGTTGTTGCTAGGTGCTGTTGAGTTGATTCCAGATTAAAACCTTATACACAACGGAAGAAAACACTGCCAGGTCCTGCACCATCCTCACAATCATTCCTGTGTTTGAGCCCATTGTTGTAGCCACTGTGTCAGTCCATCTTGTTGAGGGTCTTCCTCTTTTTCAGTGACCCTCTAGTTTACCCAGCATGATATCCTTCTCCAGAGACTGGTCCCTTCTGATGACATGAACAAAGTATGAGAGTTGAAAGTTTGCCATCCTTGCTTCTAAATAAGTGAGGTTAGATGGTAGATGGTAGGCTTCACTATTTTAAAAATAACTAAAACCTGGATGCTTTGTGTAGAACTCTCAAATTGCTATGGATCATTTATCTGGGCCTGTTCAGATTCTTTGGAGAGA